TGTATCGCCACCTGGCAGGGCTCACAGGCCAGCTCTCCAGCCTCAAAACCCAGCGGACAGCCACGTGGGCCCCACGGCCAGGCAGACTGTGTGTGGGTCCAGCACATTCCTAATTGAGTTTTTCTCTAGCCATGGAGACTTCAGATAAACCTCTCTGCTATTGTTCGTCAGGTTGAGACACGTGAGTGTGCCCTGTCACACCAACCAGCCCGCACCAGAGATAGAGGTGTCCATCTTGACCCTCTGATGAGAATCCAGGTAAGAAACAAAACACCAGCCTCCTTTCCCACCGAGCAAGTAGAAGAAGCAGCAAGGTGGCTGGAGGATTTGGAAGCTATTCACCATAATGTAGACCAAAGGCAGGATTTTTGAAAAAAGTCTCTAAATAGAAATCTGACCAACAAAGGAGATGAGAAAAGCAAAAAGAAGAAAGGAAGGGAGGAAGGACAGAAAGAAGGAAGGATGAAAGGAAGGAAGGAAGGAAGAAAGAAAAGGAAGGAAGGTAAAAAGAAAAGAAAGCCATTCACTTTGAAAATTAAATGACATATTTAAAAAGCCATGAAATGAGAACATATTCACAAAAGGTAAGTGATTGTGGGTGATAGCTGGGTGCTACTAACCTTGTGTTTATTACTAGGTTCGTTTATCTTTCTCTGTATCTAACTGTCTTGGCAAGAATCTTGATCTTCTGGCAGAAAATTCTTCCCCAAACTACACCAATATGATATTGCTCATATATAGGTTTTCCAAAACCAATGTCCGGGTATTTTCACCATTGTGCAAAAACAGGAGACCCCGCAGAGCAACAGACGGTCCTCAGCAGGCCTGACACTCGGGCCAAGCCCCAGGTGGCAGCTTAGAGAACACATTGTCCAGTGAAACCCCACACAGACTGGCCTCCGAAAATACCTGGTGTCTGCATCCCCCAAAAGTTGAACAAATGACAAGGTCATTCAAAACTCTTCATAGGGTTAGTAGAAATGGCAGGGATCTGGCATTTTAGCAAAAGTACACAAATCAGCGGGCTCTTATTAAACACTGCCAACAAGTAGTCATGCTTAAGAAGTCTCCTTTCCTCTCAGATTTTATATCACTGGGTTCATCTCAGGTACCACAAAGGACAGTGGAAATCTAACAAGTAAAAATGAGGTATGGAAAGGTCACCAGAAAAACAGCAAAGAACAATACTTCTTATCTGAGCGACTGATTTTTCTCAGGGGATTAATTTTTAGCTTTGCAGGTTTTTTTAATTTGCAGTTTTTTTGAAATTGCAAGTTTTTGTGTGCATGGTTTACAATAAAGGTGATCAAATCTTCCTGCCACTCTAGGTGACGGAAATTAAATTACCAGCAGTTATCGCTAAAACAAAGGTGAAGATATTTTGCCTACATATAATTGAATATTTCTGAAGTCCACGGGTTCAGAAAACTTCTCACTGTGAGTGTCTATTTCAACAAAGATATCCTGCTTTGTAGTAGAAGAACTATGGAGTTTCTAATTACACATACATAAGTTTGGCAGCATTATTATTGTTCAATTTTGCTGTCTGCATTCAGGAATGCGAAAGATTTGTATATACCACTGGTTGTGACTTTCCAACAATGAGTAATGAAAATTCCTATTTATCATTTCTAGGATCAACGCTAGTGTGACAGCAGAAAATGGCATTATTTACCTGGCCCACATTACTGTTGTACAGAATCTGGAAAAATAAATCCCTCCATCCATTCAGGAATGTTCTCTTCCCAATTAAGGTTTTGATGATTCTGCACACAATATTGATTTTTACCCTTTTCTATTTGCATTTTAATTTAAAAAGTCCCTGTCGATTTCATTTCTATAATACAGTGTGTTTATGTTCTCAAAATCTTAACAACTTCGTATCCCAGGAGTCTCTTTAATATTTAATTTTTTACCCTGTTCAGTTACTGGAAAACATCTCATAGCTTTTTTATTTATTACTTTACTTAAGTCGATTTTTTTTCTTTACTCTATGAAATTATCCATTTGGTGATCACGTGACTAATATGCAAAAAGTTCTTATTTCAATTATACAAGCAAATCTAACCCATGATTATTAGGAAAACTATTTTGCCAATCATCCATTGTTTATTTCAGAGTATAATCAAGTACCACAGGCTAGATTAAAAGCTTAAGGATAGGGATTTTTTTTTCTGATTTAAAATAATAAAGGTAATCAAACCTTCCCACCAATCTAGGTGATTGTGAAATTTAATTACCAGCAGTTATCATTAAAACAAAAGCAAAGCAATTTCTTTTACACATAATTGAATATTCTAGAAGAAAATTTCTAAAGAATTCTCAGAAACTGTATTTAAAAATTAATTTTAACCTGATCATTTCATTTGTTATGTCTCAGCTGGTAACAGAGAGGTGTGGGTGACGTGGTTCAACAACGGCAGGTGAGAATAGATTCTCAGGAAAATCAGATAACTTTGAGCTTAATACTGAGTCAATTATTTGATTTTTACTCTTTGTCCAAACACATCCAAACCTAAACCTCCCACGGCTATTCCTCCAAGAGAGGTTTAACTCACGTTATTCGACTTCACCTCTCCATATGCTGGACATGACAGAATCAACTGTTCCTTTCTTAGTGCTCAACTGCCCAGATCTGTCCTAAGGTGTCCAGACCTGTGCCTTCAAACCCACTGCTACCTGAACAGAATGAAAACCTCCTGTGCCAGCAGCACTGGTAAGAGATCTGGCAGCTCTCTGCACAATGATGATCGGCCTATAAGCATTACGGACCAGAGATGAGGAACCACCAAGAAAAAGAATCAATAGCCCTAAGAAGTAAGGTGAAAATTAGGCTATGAACTTCCCTATCTCCAGGCCTTTGCCTAAGCTCTTTCGTCTTCTGCTTTCTGAAAACAAAACCCACTCATCTTTCAAGGCCCAACTCATATGTCACCTCTACTGACCCTTCTAAACTGAGGTCATCGCTCTCCGCCCTGCACTCCTCCACATAATTCATTTTCTCAAGTTGGAATACAGACTGCTGTTTGCTTGTCCATCTCTGCTGCTGGATGAGGAGATGGGGACGGGAAGGATCTTGATTCATCTTTCTATTACAAATGCTTGGGACTACGCCTGAAACCGAAAAGAAACTTAACAAATGCTTTTTTAATAGAGCTCAAACCTCAAGACCAAATTTAACAGGCAATATTAAGAGGCAGTTTGGATGTGTGCTGGACTTACTTTTGTACCTAAAGTCTGAGCCAGTGAGTGCCTGTCTTCTTTTTCATTCCGCCAAGGAACAAACTTTATTCACACCGAGCACTTACTAAATGCCACACCCTGTGCTAAGTGCTCTATACACATTATCTCATTTAATCCCCATGACATTCTTATGAAATAACTCTTATCAGTAGCATTAGTTTCATTTACAGATGAGGGAACTGGGGCTTGGAGAAGTAAAGTAACTCACTCCAAGTCATCCAACTGGTCAGTGGTGGAGCCAAACACAAGGACAATAATCCCAGAATTTCAGACCTAGAAGGAATCCTAAAACTATCTTCCTTACTTAACCTCTTTGTAGTTGAGGCTTATAACTTACTGCCTGGCACATAGTAGGTCCTCCAAAACGATGATTAATAGGTTGATGGAGTGCCCTAATTTCTCAGACTCTGACCTTTGCCTGAGAGAACCCAGCTGTCACCATAAACAGGCTCTATTCTTTCCTGCCCAACACCTCTCATAGGTGTGAATTGCTCGTGTCATCTGAATTATTCATCATCCACACGATGGTAAGTGTGCTTAAAAAGAGAACCCCACTCCGGTTCTCATATATTTCCACACAAAATGCCTGATGAATTTGTGAATTAGGCAATATAAGTTCATGCCCCAGGCTGATTCACACCAAATAATATATCCCTGCCTACTCTCCGAATTTCAGCTTTTTCATAATTTCCCGCTTTCCATTAGGATTTACAACAGCGGTAACTAAAGCAAAAAAGAGAACCATTACAAGCATCTCTATCCCATCTGCAGAACAATTACCATCATCTAAAGCTATACTGTGCAGCTTCAAACCCATGTATTCTTCCCAAGGCTGAGTTAGGTTTTTCAACCCGGTTTCTTAAGCTCCCTCAAGATCTGAAAATTCAGATGCCATGGCATCTGTAATTTATGCCACCAGTAAATCCTGTGACGATACTGCCTTCTTGTCCTTTCTCCTTTCTTCTTTCCCTTCATCACCTCTCCCCCACCAGTTTATTTTCTAGTGGGCCGTTTTCTGAGAGGGATAACCATATGCTAATCATAAGCCAACATCACTGTATTTTAAATTCAATGTTAGTCAACCAAAATGAACTGAAGAGCAGCAGCAGTGGTTTGGGGGTACTAAAAATAAGCTGTAGCTTTTGCTGAGTTCTCAGAATTAAAACCACAGGCGGTCAACTTGTTGCTGCTCTTAATAAGATATGACGGTTCCGCCCCATTGGATGCTACTACCAGAAACTTCAACTCTATCATACACATCACAACACTGTGCTTTTGTTTAGTTGGCAGTGATCAAAAAAGGAAGAGCTATTTCCCTGAAACTAAAATCTGCCAAAAAATCTAACAGATGGCTTTCAAGTGATCACCTTGTGCCACATCACAATTGCACCTTAGTAAATAGCCTTGCATTTATGATTTAATTAGCCATGCATCTAGAGATATGATTCCTTAATGCCTGGCTTGCAGTCCAGTGCCTCCAACAGTGTTTCTTTCTTTTAGTTTAATTTTTTGGTAGTAACTTAAAACACACACACAATAGGAATTAATAAAATATTAACATATTGAGCATTCCCATTAGGACTTCAAGACCTTCTTGCCCCCTGAACACTAAACTACACGAAATGTCTTATCAGTTATTCCTTTAGGTTTTGTCATTAAAGTTTTCAATGACCAGAGAGGTAAAAGAATTCTACCTAATGCATCATTCTGATTAGAAACCTGTCATACTCAGAATCCAGTGGGTCTGCTTCTATTGATTCGTACTCCTTCAGATTCATTAGCAATTTTTTTCTTTTCAATTAGACCCACTGATCAACCACAGAAACGCTGAAAGAAGCCCTTCCTTTGCTTGGTAGCATTTGGGGAAAAAAATTGTATGCCTGGAAAGTAAAATTACAGAATGTTTTCCAAGAGGCCACAGAGGAAAATCTCACACACACACTCACACACACACACACACACTCACACCTGCACATTTGTAACCAGGCAAACTGTCAGAGGCTGGGCTCGACCACCTGTCCCCTAACTCTTCAATCAGGGCCAGAAAGACAACATCTCCTTATTACCTCTATCTCAAACCCATGCCCCAAGCGTGTGTCTCCAAGGAGCTGATTTCTGAAACAAACAAAGAAAATCAAGTCTGTGAGGAGCGAGGGTTTGCTCCCCTCTGCCTTGAATTTGGGCTTCCAGCGGAGTGGGCACCGCACCGCCAGCGGCTCTGGGCGCCCAGCGTCACCGTAACCTTTCCCGCCCGCCAGCCCTGGTTCCAGCTGCGCCAGAAAGTGCGAGCCCGCCCAGCTCGGTTCGCTTCCCGCCCGCTGCTCCCCAAACCCCTAGAACCCCCGCGTCCGCACACTAAGGGCGCCCCCTGCTCTCCCACCTCTGCGCTGCCAGACGCCACGCACGGAGGTGCTGTGGGCACCGAGGGTGCTGGCGGGCCAAACAAGTGTCACACCGGCCGCCTGTCCTCACTCCGGGAGAGCGGGCAGGACGGCCACAGGTAGGCTCTCTCCATCTCCGGGTCGGGGCAGGGCAGGGGGCGAGAGACCCGGCGCGGCTGCCGCGCCCGACGGGCTAAAACTCACCGGAGGACACTGAGGAGCCGGACAGGCTGGAGTTGCTGGACGCTGCCATCTCCGCGCGCCTCGCGCGTAGCTGCTCGCTCAGCCCCGGAGCGGACACCGCCGCCGCTGCCCTGGCCCGGCCGCTCGCAGCCTCCGCGGCCCCCAGCCCATGGCAAAGTCCTGGGGACGCGCAGAAAGCACCAGCCTCCGGACTCTGCCTGCACTTCCTGCTCCGCCAGATGACGCGCTGCTGCCGCCGCTATTTATTTGTGGTTTCCGTCCCTCTCGGCGCCCTCGCACGCTTTTCTCCGGGTGTCGGGGG